AAAAAAAAATGTGACAGTGCAAATAAGGAGTAAAACAAATTGGTTAGTTAGGTCAAAAAAGTCTGAGTCATTATGCACTTATGCATAAGTGATGGCTGAACATGTTAAGTGCTGCTGAGGGCAATGTATTCCACTTTATTTCCACTCTCCATGCTGAACTTCTCCTATGCTATTTATTTATTTTTATTTGTTTAATTATTTATTTGACTAAAGAGGGTTCCCAATATCAATTTCACAATTTTAGCCAAAACAATTTACGATTTTACGAGTCAGAAACAGAAAGAGTAGTTAGATTCAGTTTAAACTGAAGGAGTATAGTCTCGATTCACTTTAAAAACATTGTAATCCCAACAAATCACTTATTGACAAAACTTTACATGCATAAATCTAATTATGAGTCAGTGTGCTGGGTATTTCTGTCCTTTGTTTGCATTACTTTTTTTTAACCTATATTTATCAACTTATGAATGCTTTACTGATAATTACTGGCAAAACAAACTGTAATGGAAAAGCTCAACTAACATATTTGTATATCTTGAGAGATTTTTGAAATTCTGATTTTAGATGTGGAATGGATGGTTTTGAAAGTTTATTGTATTTATACTTTAAGACACTTACTGAGGCAATTACAGGCACACATCTGCTTTAAAACCTTCATAATGCTAACAATGTCTGTCTGCTTGACTCTTATTAGCAGCAACATGTAGTTGTAGATATTTTCTTGTAGTTGTAAACCATGGAAACAATAGAGCTGCTTCTGTGATTCATAGCCTGCAGTAAATTACCATGCCAACTCGTGTAGCTTTGGTTTCCATAAATGTAAGCGGGTCTGTGTGAACTGAAGTGATATTATGCCATTTATTGCAATCTAAGGTCACAGGCTCACATTATCCGAAGTCTTCGTTTGTAATATGAAGTGGTTAATATAAAAAGGAGAAATGTAAATGAAATGAATGTTTAAAACAAATGCTTATCAGTGTGCTATGAATAGTATGTGAATGAGGGAAATTGTATTCCCCAAACACACCGTTGGTTCTGTGAGGCAACATTAGAAAATGGCTTCTAAACTGCTCCTGGTTTAAGAATGTTTTTGTGCAATAGACTACTATTTATTAAAAATATGAATTTGTTCTGATTCTAGATATCTGATATCTAGATCATTGAAACTTGTAAAGATGGTCTCAAACTGGAAAATGTAAAACTGTGTAGATATCAAGATGGACAAGCTGAAAATAAATTATTTTAGTGAAAACATGGCTAATTCTTGGATCTTATTTGCATGAAGTACTCTAACTTATTATTAATTGACCCACTGTATTAGGTGAAGAATTTGTATTTGTAGTTTACATATTTTTCGAGCAGTGACGGCAGTGCCTGAACTGATGTTACTGCAATTTTTCATGTATTATTATTTTACACGCATTATTATTCTCATTAATTTAATGAACATATTAAATATTTGTACTTTAAGTGAACTGCTACAAGTTTTAAATGGTGACCAGTTACACCAGTTGCTTTCCGTTTTTAATGGTTTTGAAAATTTTCTTATGTTCACTAATGCTGATTTTTTTTTTCATTATAAATAGTTAATTATTTGAAATGTTATTACAATTTAAAACAACTTATTTCTATTTAAATATATTTTAAAATGTAATTTATTCCTGCAATTTCAGCTATTACTCCAGTCTTCGATGTCAAATGATTCTTCAGAAATCATTCTAATATGCTGATTTGCTGCTCAAGAAATATTTCTTATTATCATTAATGGTCACTATAGTTGTGCTGCTTAATATTTTTGTTTTTAAATTAAAATCTTAACATTCATGGACATATCGGTTAACTTCCCCAAAAAAAACTTTTTTTAATGCTTTCTTCAAACCATTCTCTAATGTTTCACAGAATCCTGAATCCAAAAATTAGACCTTCACCTAAACTCTATAAGAAATGTTTAATTTGATGACAGAATGATTCATCCACTATATACCGGGGAAAAAACAGCTCTTCCTTGATTGTCATATAATCTGTTTCCAACTCATTAAATTGGTTGACTATCTGAGTCACCGTTTGCCATTAGTGGCCAGCTCTTTGGCCATAGTTTGGACACAGGGCCGAATATTTCTCTCTTTTTGATTGCTGCTGTGAGCTCAGCAGTCATTACAGTGATGCTGTTACCACAGCGACCGAACTGTCTGTAGTAGCACTTTGCTGAGCTTTGTTATTGGCTGCACTGCTTCCGTTTGCTGCTTTATGCAGCCAAAACGACACTAATGCCACCTACATGTCTGCCTAAAGAGATGTTACCATTTAGTTTGGATTATTTAGGCATATTGCATTTAAGAAAAAGATTTCATGTCACACCTCAAAAGGATTTGCATGCCACTTGCATTAACCACATACACAAATGAATAGCATTGCACATGTGCAGATCATGTTTTATGCAAGCAGAAAGCTCCAAGACATCACTTCTGAGATGATGGTGGTCTGTTCTAAAGCATACGCCCATTTTTTTGCGCCTCTCCTCCTTTCTTAGTTAAAACACCAGGCCTGTGAGGGGTTGAAAGTGTAGCTACAGTATGCTCAACCACCGCAGTGCTGTCCCGTTAACGTTACCGCGTGGAGCGGGAGGGGTGTGTGTGTGTG